TCAAGCCTGCAGAACATTCAGAGCTATTCTGTTGTTCTTCTTCGTAAAATTATTTTTGACTCTAACTATTCAAAGTTATATTACTTTTAGTGTAAAAAAATTATGCTGATTAAAAAATATATGATTTCTTACTCTTAATCAAGACATCAAAGGACACCCTTGTCCTCCTCTTTCTTTACAATGATGACCTTTCTAATTTTCAGGTGTACTCAGGCAGTTTTACAACGATTTCGAAAGTTTTCCCTTCGCCATCCCCCCACTCCCCCCTCCCACCCCTTCACCAGCCAAACAGTACATCAAACATCGATCTTTGGCCATAATGCTATGAATATTAATTGAAGTGAACAGAACCCTAAATAGGAATCATGAAGTAAAGGATAACTACAGCATAACAACAGTCTTTCAAGAGGCTGAATAATTCTTGATTAAGACCGAAATATGCAGCCGCAAGAACGAATAGTGAAGGGCTGCAAGGCCAGGGGGGGTGCAGCTTTGGAAACCTGATTTACAGAATCAAAGTCGCAAGTTTTCTACAGTGCTTACCAGCAATGAGTATTAATCGATGAAATTTACTCCTTGCCTGTGAAAGTCGTGGACTGGGTCCTGTAAGAAGACAGCAACACTCATTAATACCGAAAGCTTTGTCGAAACTATCAAATATTTTCACTAACTGATGAATTCAAAAGCGGAAGTGATCTTACCGCAGTTAACAGATCGTTGAGTCGTTTATCACTAAGGAAACGTATTCCTGCTGTGACAAAGAATAAAAATGATGGTTTTTGAACTCACTTCGCTGGAAAAATAAGTTGATTTTTCCAGAAATGAGGGAATTTCACCAGACGGAAAATACCCTTCTCATCGCGAAACGACGGAATGCGAACAGTCACACCTAACTGTAACCTGAGCTGGGACAAGTCCCAAGAATGTCCCAGAAGCCTCAGCGCATACAATCACGGTGTAAGGTCCAACCCCAGGGCCTTCTCGATCTCTCTCCTCGACGACTTTCAAAACGGAGGCTCGCGAGATTGCGGTAAGGACTTGTGAACTGTGGAGTAAAGTACATACAGTGCATCTCGACATAAATGAAAGAGGTCCGTAAAATGCCTTTTCCACTGTATAACAACTGGGGTTCGAGATGTATGGAGGGCACTCCATCCCGTAAAGGGTGTGAGGCGAAACCCTTTTTCGAGGCAAAGTATGGTAACTTGTACAGAGATACCCAGTATGTTCCGAACCAGTTTCCCGTATGAAGCATTTGTCATTAGCGATAGGGTAGGATAGGATAGGATGGCATTGGATGGGATGGGATGGGATGGAATGGGATGGGATTGGATTGGATGGGATGGGATACTTTATATAAAGTGTCACCATGCTTAGCCATACAGCTAGTTTACAGATATCCCACTACTAAAATTAACATAACTAGCTACCGTATAATTTCGCAGAACCTGGACTTTGTTCTATGATTTATTAGCTAGACTATAAAAACAAAGAATTTTCCATTATTTCATCTAAGAGGACTTACATTATTTAGCATGTAGACGGTTTAAAATGGGAGAGAAAGCATCCACACACAAAAAAAAATTCAGTGGTACATGTAATTCCCCCTTTTCCCCCGATGCTGCAGTCGTTCGTAAAATATCGTTTTTACATCTCAAAAATAAGATTCATATCTTCGCGCCGCCGAGTAATATCCTCTCTATAATTTACCGTGAAGAGTAACACAACCTCTTCTACACTGCTTTTATTTCGGGTCAGCGGGAGCCGCCTTAAGAGTGTGCGTTACATAATTTCGCAGAACCTATGGCAGAAACGTTGGGCTGTTTCGCAGCTCAAATGTTGTGGGTGCGGTCAGCGTTTTCGGTATTTTAACTTATGTAAAAATTAGTAAAAATGAGCAAGAAAAAATCATGTGATGCGTGACACTGACCATAAACTAAAAATAAGGCTGAAAAAGTTCATGAAAGTGTCAAAAAGTAGCGTAAACTAGACGTTTTGGGCCTAGCCCATCATCAGTATTTGAAAAGAGCGAGCCACACAAAAGACCGTGCGTGTACGCACGCACGGAAAGTGTGCGCGTGCTGTGACGTGTGAAAACCATAGTTTTCACGCGTGTGTGTGGGTTACGCACTAGAAACAAAGTTACAAGAAATTAAAGTTAGTGTATTACGAACTCACAACGTTACCAGCTCTCAGTTGGCTTGATAGCTCAGTTGGTAGAACACTGCACTGGTATCTCAGAGGTCATGGGCTCGAATCCCGTTCAGGCTTGAATTTTTTCAGGCTTTAATCTCACAACTGCTCAAGTTGTGTGTATAACTGCGATGATCAATCTTGTCTTCATATCATTCTCCGCACTTTAAATATATGATATTTTATATATTCACTTGTATTCTTGACCATCTACGGGTATGTTACGAACCCTCAACATGACCAGCTTTCAGTTGGCTTGAAAGCTCAGTTGGTAGAACACTGCATGGTATCGCAGAGGTCATGGGCTCGAATCCCGTTGAGGCCTGAATCCTTTTCAGGCTTTAATCTCACTACTACTCAAGTTGTGTGTATAACTGCAATCAGTGATCAATCATGTCTTCATAATGTTCAGTCTGTTTAGTCTAAGCGTGCCTGCGGCTGATATTGCTGTCAGTGCATTGTTTAAAAAATGTCAAAAAACTGGTGTTCTTAAATATTTATGGTGGTCGATGCGATTAGCTACAACTGGCTACTTCTCAGGCATGCCACTTAAACTGGAAGAAAGAAATATTTCAAATAAATGTAATAGGCTTTAAAAATCCCAACTGGCGGGAGGCAGACCAGTTGACTATTCACAAGCATGAGTGAGGAGCTGAACTAGAGTCTACCAAGAAACAACTCCAGCTTAGTGGTCAGAGCGGGACTTGAACTGGCGACCTCCAGATTTCAAGTCCACCCGCGCCTTAACACCTTGGCCACGCTGCCTCTAAAAAAGTAAAAAGTCGCGAGCACTTTTTTTTTTTCGCTGCATTTTATCAGCCTTAACAGCCAAACTATATGTTGCGTTGTTTGGCAGACTTGCAATTATAAAACTGTTCATATTATCGAAAATTTTTTTGCAATTTCCCGTTTGTTATTGAAAATACTTAAATTCGTAACTCAAATTGTACGGAAAATATTAACAATTAGTGTATCTCTCAGTTACGACGCGCGCTTTGATTGGTCAATTTAGCGGGCCATATTGTACTGTACGGCCTGCTAAAATTTAAAGCTGTTTTTGTTGCCACAATGTTTTGTGTTTTATCGCCAAGTGTTCTTAACTTTTATAGCAAGTAAAAGTTTAAAACTTTCTTTTACTTCTAAAATTGTGTATTAAAACCTGCTAACAACTTAAGAGTCACTTAACAAAGATTTCAAATTGACTCGTTTTGCTTTTGACGTGCGTCAGAAATTTGATGCCGTTCCGCGTGAATACAAATCGTTCCCGCACCCGGCAGACGCGTAGTAGAGTTATAATAAATATCTTACTAACCTCTTCTTCTCGGTCCGTACTGTAAGTTACGGATCCTCGTTTTTCTCCTTCAATTTATGGTAAGCGCATGAGAAAAAAAATCGGTCCGTAACTTACAGTACAGCCCTCGAACTCCGTTATCAAGAGGTGTCACTGAATAGTTCAAGTCCTCTTTAATACAATGCAGATTCATATCAACATAACATTTTCCCCTGTCCTTATCTTTTAAACTTTTGTATTATTGAACCGACGCGTAATTCGACTTGAGGACGTTCGCGCTAGTCCTCCGTAGGAAAAAAGATGGCGACTGGTACATTTACCCATAGAAGTTCTTAGCGCACGAAAACCTTAACAACGTTCATAAAAAACGTACAGAAACAATATAAAATCTTCAAACATGGGCTACTTAATGTCATTAGTACAGGGACAAACACTGTAAAATTTGGCTTTCTTTGTGCCTTTTAGGCTGTGTTACGTTCGCAAGGCATTGTGGTAAACTGTACAGCCGCCATCTTTTTTCCTACGGTGGATTGTTTCTGGGCATCCTTACTGCGCACGCAAATTCACACGCCACGTCATGCATGAGAGCGCGCCCTAAGTAATAAAATGAACAATGATAGGGCAGATGACCATTGTTATAGCTTTGCCTGGATTTAACGATCTTGGACGTTCGGTGACCCCTACTTTTCTCTCCAGAAACAGACTTTATTTACAATTATCTCCACATTGTCCAAAAATGAACAAAAAATCAATGTGGGAAGTTAAAAAAATTTCAAGAGTTCTGTCCACTGCCATCCTGCATCTTGCGGCTGCAAGGCGCGTGAAACTATGGCCGCTAAATGCGAACTTGTTCTTTGAGGAACCTCACCAGTTGACTGAATTCACTTAATATAAAGGTCCACTTAAACAATATTTGGCAGAGAACATTTCACTTCAAAGATCCAATTGCAATATTTTGGGGCCTACAGACACTGTGGCCTTATTCACTAACGAAGCCCGATCTTTTCAGATTTAGGGTGTTCTTCCGGACATGTTCTCTCCAAAACGAAGTCAGTGACCCCCC